TATATATATATTTATATATATATATATATATATATATATATATATATATATATATATATATATATATATATATATATATATATATATATATATATATATATATATATATATATATATATATATATATATATATATATATATATATATATATATATATATATATATATATATATATATATATATATATATATATATATATATATATATATATATATATATATATATATATATATATATATATATATATATATATATATATATATATATATATATATATATATATATATATATATATATATATATATATATATATATATATATATATATATATATATATATATATATATATATATATATATATATATATATATATATATATATATATATATATATATATATATATATATATATATATATATATATATATATATATATATATATATATATATATATATATATATATATATATATATATATATATATATATATATATATATATATATATATATATATATATATATATATATATATATATATATATATATATATATATATATATAACATGTGACAACTAAAAATCTGGACAAAGTTTGTAGCTTCATTTTATATGTCTAACAATGTTTAATAATTTTATAATTCTATTTATTTTGTTGCAATTTTATTCCTCTACAATTTATCATAGTCTTTTTTTTTCCAGAACCTAGTTAAACATGTTTAAAAGATTGAAAAATCAAGAGTTACTCTGTAAATGAGTGTATGTTCTTCTGGATTTGCATCCAAAAGGGAACAAAAGTTTTGTTGTTAATCATTTTCGCACGGAAAATGTTTCAAAATCAACCATGTACAATATACTGTGACAAAAGGAGATCAATTAAGGACCAGAAAGAAAAGTTGGAAGTGGTCAGTCTGCAAAAAAAAGTTGGGAGTGGTCAGTCTGCAAAAAAACGTTGGGAGTGGTCACTCTGCAAAAAAAATGCCTCAGAAACAGATTAAACACCTAAAAAAATTTATTGATAAGAAGGACGGTGTTTCACAACGTAACTTAGCCAAAAGATTCAATGTTTCCCAGCAATATATATCCAAAATTATCAACGAAAAAATGAGCATTCTGTATTGTAAAAAAACTAAAGTACCAAAAAGAACAATGGCTCAGAAAGCTGCTGTGCATCCTAACTGAAGAAAATTAGTTGCACTTTTCTGGAAAAAAATTGTGATAATTGACAACGAATTGTATTTTCCTTTGTGCAACACACAGCTTTCTGGCAACGCAAGGTATTGTACTTCTGATCCTGACACAACTCCTAATGAGGTTAAACTCAAAAGAAAAAGCAAATATAAGCTAAAATTATTAGTTTTGATAGCCTTGTCAGAGAAAGGGGTCTCAAAGCATTACATAGCTTCTTCGGGACAAGCAGTCAACAAGGATTTGCACATTTCCAAATGCTGGTTAAATTAAAGAAGTTCATCAACAAGTTTCATAAAAACAACAAAATTGTGTTCTGGCCTGATCTAGCTTCTGCACACTGTTACAAAATTACCTAAAAGGCAAAAATATCAAATATGTGCCGAAAGACATAAACCCTGCTAATGTGCCCGAATTGCGCCTGATCGAGGATTTTTGGAGTGAAATTAAAAGATTGGTTTATGCAGACAATTGGCAAGCTAAAAATCTCCGCCAACAAAGAAATCAAATTGAGTATTGTATAAAACAAATCAATCAAAATCGCGAACATAGGCATGGGGCGAGTATCTTTACAAGAGTTGACAGTGTTCGGCAAAATGGACTAATAAACAAATAAGTTTTATTTTAATTTTGTAAAATACAAATTTTTTGTTAATTTGCTTTTTAAATTTAAAAGATTGATAACTTTGTTCAAGAGATATTCATTTTCAAAGTTTGTCAAGATTTTTAGTTGTCACATGTTATATATATATATATATATATATATATATATATATATATATATATATATATATATATATATATATACATATATATATATATATATATATATATATATATATATATATATATATATATATATATATATATATATATATATATATATATATATATATATATATATATATATATATATATATATATATATATATAAACTACCCTTGGAATTAGGAAAAATGAGATCTTTAGAGGTTGCCAAAAACTATTTGATACATATGTCTTACCATAAAACATAAAAATGAGGTCAGCAATTTTTTTCCTTGTTTGACCTTGTTTGTTGAGAATTTAAAACATCATGTGAAAATTTGAGGTGACAGGTTAAGAAAAATAAACTTGTTTTAACTTATGTCACATCACTTACATTATTGAGAAATTATCGTGGATTTTTTTATATTATTATTAAGAGTAAGATTTTTTATAGCAATTTTTAAAAACTCTTCTTCTTGGTTGATTTTTCAAAACATTTATGATAGTTATCAAATCAAAAACAAATTTTCCGCAAGACCAAGAGCAACTTTAAAAAATTACTTCAGTATGACAACTTAATTTATACTTAAAAGGTCATTTAAATAACAAAATCTTAAGTTTGTCGAAATTTTTACTCACACTCCTTACGTTTTTGCGTATTTTCATTAAGTTGAATTTTTAAAATGCTGAAAAGTATTTACATTTAAATGTTTTAAAATAAATTTGACATAAAAACTGTTTTACTGTATCACAGTTTAGGAAGGAGAAGGGGTTCAGGTATATGTGGTTGTTTGTGATAGAAGGGAAGGGGTAAGAATCGACAAATATAGAGTAATATGCTTTATGGATGACCCCCTTAATTGCATTTACAAACAATATGTTTTTCTAAAACAAAAATATTAATCAAATCCTCAAGTTAGTTAGAGAAGGTTCTAACTGAATTTTTTTATATTATGCATTTTTGATTATGCAAATAAATTCATGATTAAACATTAAACATTTTATCATGCGATTATAAGAAAAACCGTAACTTTCGGAAGCATAAAAATGTAAATAAATTAATTTTAGTGCTAAAGGTACATTTTAAATAAACTTTAAATAAAAAACATGCCTAAAAAAAATTATTCTCAAAAAACCTGAAAATATTGACTTTTTTTATTTTCAGCTTAAAAACAATAGTTTTTATGCATTTATACCTGAAAAAATTATTTTTATAAAAAATTATTTTCATTTTTAAATTTTTTATATAATTTTGCTTATTTTGAGTACCAGGTTGACATACTTTAGAAAAAGTTTTTTTTTCAAAATATTAGGGACCCGTCAAATTTTTGAGGGCCTTGAGCTACCCCTAAAAATATTTTTTGTTCAAAAAAATTTTAAACCTAGTGTTTTTGTATTAGATAAAACACATTTAGGGGGTACCAGCAGGTTTTTCTCAAAAAAGTTGTTTTAAGCACCACCCTAATATATATATATATATATATATATATATATATATATATATATATATATATATATATATATATATATATATATATATATATATATATATATATATATATATATATATATATATATATATATATATATATATATATATATATATGTAAACATATAAACCCATTTTATTTAAAATATGAAAGATATATATATATATATATATATATATATATATATATATATATATATATATGTAAACATATATAAACCCATTTTATTTAAAATATGAAGGATGAGATAATTCAACATATTAATGACATTGAACCTCAATTATGTCTCAGAGTCATTGAAAATTTGGACCATCGGATAGAAGTATGCCACCAAAGCTATGCAACATTTTTTTTCACACACAATTGTCATAGATTTTTAATATTAAGATAAGATAAATATTAAGATAATACTCTAAAAACTTTTTGTTTTGTTTACAATAAACATTTTACGTTTTGGTAGGACCACCCTTTATATCTACTATAGCAACCCTCGGAATTAGGCATTTGGCAATGCCGACCTAACTGCTGACCTGAAAGTGTTTGAGATCAGCAATTTTTTGCCAACCTTATATCTATGTTTTATAGTAAGACCTTTGTATCAATTTTTTTTTTCGATCTCTAAAAGATTGAGGTCAGCAAGTTATTGTTGACCTCATTATTAAATTTGAAAATATATGCTTTATAAAAAAATGAAATTAATAGTTATTAATAATTAAGTACTTTTACTATGTTTAAAACACAAAGTTTTATCATATTTTAAAACACAAGTTTTAGGTTTTATAGGTAAAGCAAAATGAATGAAACACTATATAACAGGTTTTGCACAGTAGTTAAAATTTTAACTCAGAACTAAGAGGTTTAAGGTTCAAATCCGGTTTTAGCCCAACAAGTGAAAATGGTAAGAAAAAAGGTGTTAACTTCCTCATTAAATGCTTTTCCGTGTTGCTCTGTGATAAGACTGTTAGGTTTTCTCGGAGCACCATCATAACTAATATAAAAAAAATTAAAATAAAAGCAATACACTAATGGTGTTCAATTGGAACACGTTTTCTAAAAAATATTCTGTTTTCATTGATTTTCAGACTGATAAGGTCTGGAAATTCTTATTTTTGAAATTTACTTTTTGTCTCTGCTTCTCTGCTTATTATATCCTAATGTGTCTATTTATCTTTTTGATATTAGTTTGTTCATAGCATCAATTATTTATCCATTTGTGGCAACGTTATACATTGCATCTATTTTGTTGGGAGTTGGAGCTGCAAGTAAGTTTACAATTGCAAACAGCTTAATGTATAAGATGTTATACAAGATATAAGATGTTATACAATAAACAATTTATGAGAATAACTTGTTTTATAAGGTGTTATACTATAAACAATTTTTGTTTGTGTGATTTTAATTAGGGATGTACCGGAATACCGTTCCAGTTGTAATTACGACTGGATTTGGTGACTTTTAGTTCATTCCAATTCTGGCCAGAAATACAATAATTTAGACCAGTAATACAATAATTTGGCTGGAATGCCAGAATTTATTTTTTACTTTTATTTTTTAAAACATGACACAGGCTGTGTAAATTAAATCAAAAAATCATTGTCCTACAGGGCAATGAAGAAGTATAGGTAAACCTAGATAAAAGTTTCTAAACTTAATTTTTTTGCAATAATCAGTTACGTAATGATATTTGGTAGTTTAGGATTATTGTGGTACAAAATGAGTTGCTCTCTAGTTTTGAGCTACAAACTAGCTCTTTTTTCATCAAAAATGTTACCTGCCTCTGAGAATAGATTCATTTTAAAAGTTACTTAAATTTTGAATAGCTAAAAAATATAGGATGCCTGTTACAGTAAATATTATAATTTTAACCTAAATGAAAAAATAAGAAATAAAAAAATAATTTTATTATAAATATTATGCAGGTTGAAACTTTCAATACATAAAATTATAAAAACTAATAAAAAACAAAATATTAGATTTAAATGAAAAAAAAATCAAATTAATTAATTAGATTATATATATATATATATATATATATATATATATATATATATATATATATATATATATATATATATATATATATATATATATATATATATATATATATTATAGATTATAAATATATATTACATAGCCACAATACTAATGTGCATGCTTTCCTTTAATCTTGAAGGTAAAAAGTAACATAATTATAATTCTTGTTCTGGCCAGAATTCTGGTGGCATTTTTATTAACAAATCTGGCAAATCCAGTTCTGGCTGGAATTTAAAATTTCCATTCCAGTACACCCCTAATTTTAATCTTTTTTGTTTTTATACATTAAAATTATTTTTTTGATAACATTGCTTGTTATATACCTATTATAACATAGTATTCATTCCATGTCAACAGGCGCATGTGAGTTTATGTTTATGATTTTGCTTTCACACGCATTGAAAGGCTTATGAGTATTTAAAAAACTTATATATTTAAGTATCCAACTCCTTAGGGTTCTTGAGAAATGTAAGTTTCAATTTTGGCATGATTTATGCCAACTCATTATTTTTTATGGCATGATATGTTGGCATCAAATAGCAATATTTAATGAAATAGGGTATTCGGAAAAATAACCCATTGTTCTGGCCTTGAGTCCACTTTAGGAATAATAAAGTTTGCATTAAAATATTTAAAAAATTTTGACCTCAAAAAAATCTCAAATAAGTATTTTACAACTTTAAAATATTTGTCATTTTTATTATAAATTGTTCAACATTGAAAATTTAAATAATCTTATTCAACATTAAAAACTTAAATTTACTTTTTTACTTAAATTTACTTTTTTACTTAAATTTGCTTTTTTACTTAAATTTACTTTTTTACTTAAATTTACTTTTTTACTTAAATTTACTTTTTTACTTAAATTTACTTTTTTACTTAAATTTACTTTTTTACTTAAATTAGCTTTTTTATGTCAAAAAGCATACTCCAAATAGCCAAGGCAGCATAAAACAATTTTTTGTTGCTTTTTCTGTTGACTTCTACTTTTACATTTTATTTTATATTCATATGTAATTATTTTTATGATGATATTTTAAAACTTAACTTTCAAATGAATCAGTTGTGAGAACATTTAATTTACACTAATTTAAATCAAAAGGACTAAGTTCTAATAAGTTCGTAAGTCTCTCAACATATTTAAAACTCCTGGACACCAAAGATCTTGGATAAATAGTAATTTTGTGACTTTGAAAGAGGAATCAATTTTTACTTTCCTGAATTGAATGACTTATAGTTTGAATGAATCAATGTTTTTAATTAAATTGTTTTTTATATGAGTTGTTTTATGAATTGTTTACTTCATCATCGACGCAAGGTGTATTTTGATGGATTATTTTGTTTTTTAGTTAGAAATTATTTTTACAATGGCAAATACGAAAAAAGTGTTTAAAAAATTAAAAAAAAAAATTTTTTATTAAAAAAGCTGTTATTAAAAACTTTGAAATAAAAACTAACAAAAAGAAAAGGATTTTTTTTTCTGAGTTTTAGATATTTAATGAAGGCGTATTTTAAAACAAAATAAACAAGGTTCTCACATTAGAAGCACAAAATATTTATTATCCTAAAAGCACAGAAGATTTATTACCCTAGGAACACAGAAAAGTTTTTACTCTAGAAGTACAGAAGATTTATTACCATAGGAGCATAGAAGAGTTATTACCTTCAGAGTGCAGAAGATTTTATTATATTAGAAGCACAGAAAGTATATTAATTTAGGAACACAGAATGTTGTTTTAAAGTTAAAACTGCTACTACAAGTTTATGGAAGTTTTGGAAAATACAAAAAATGTTTCGTAACTCAATAAAAAGCTTTATTAAGTTTTCTAGCAAAACAAGAAATTAATAAATGTAAATTTTTTTTAATTTATAGGACCTTTTGGTGAAAATAATTTTAAAAAAATTTAAAGTCTTTGCTTTTGCTTTCCCTAATAAATAATTCTCTTTTATTCTAATGTACTTCATTTTTTCCCTCAGGCGTTCACTGCTCTTGTGTGACCATTTGGCAAATTTTATATGCCAAAGTTTTTAAATAATAATAATTTAAAAAAAATTTAAAGTCAAACAAAATATGCTATAAATTAAAAACAATATAATGTAAAAATGATTTTTAAAGAAAAAACACTGGTTTATTTTTGTTCATTTGTTTTAATTGTAAAAATAATTGCTGAGATATTTGAAATATCTTTACTGAAGACAGTATACATATTCACCTTAGTTATCGACAATTAGTTATGGACATTTGTGAAGACAATTAGTTATTGAATTTCAAAATCTTCATTTGTAGAAGAAGTGTTTTGGTTGTTGTTGTATTTTTTTTTTCTGGTTTGGTAAAAAACAGAAAATTTCAAACTTTGATTTGATTTGAAAACTAAATTTTTAAAAAATGTCTTAAGTCATGTTACTGTTTTCCTATGTTTTTATTTTATATATACATTTTTTTCTTATGTTTTTATTTTATATTTTATGCAAGTTTTTATTTGTAGTATTGTGGTGTGGCCAAGGAAACTTTCTAACAATTAACTCTGATGCTGAAACTATTAGCAGAAATTCAAGCATTTTTTGGGCATTACTTCAGTGCAGGTTTATATTTTAATGCATAGTTTTAATTTGTTTTGTAGTTTTGTTTTTATTGTTGTTTTTGATTTGTCAAAAATTCTCATAAGTTGTAAAATAAAATCTTAGTGCATTTTTTTATTAACCCTTTAAGCGGATAAAAATCTAAATGCAATTTAGTAAAATTAAAAAAAAGATAATAAAAAAGCTTATTAGTATTTTTGTGTTTTTCTATCAATCATATTCTTATGGTAATTTTTTGTATTCAGTATTTCAATGAATTGTTAACTTATAGTTTTGTTTTCAAAAGTTTCATAAGTAAATGTTTTGAGTTTATCAGATAGAACCAAAAAATTTTCTATTTAAATTTTTGTATTTTGTTTAATACAATTTTGACAATACAATAATTAATACAACAAAAAAATTTTAAGTTTCTGTTTTGATTTTAACATAAAATTCTCTCATATTAAATTTAATTGGCTAGAATGATCGGACAGGTGATGGCAATTTAAAAATAACTTCAAAGAAAAAAAAGAAAATTAAAGTTAAACAAGAAAACCAACTGGATTCATTTCTAAATTCACTAAACAACTATAATGTATAAATATATATGTATAACTAAACATAACATTTTCAACCTAAGGTTTATTTATGTTATATATTTATTTGTTTATTTTTCTAAGTAGTTTAAAATATCATTTAATTTATTTGCTGCTACCCATAAAACCTTATAAAGTTTAAAAGAGTAAATATAAAGCAACCGTGGCGCAAAGGAAGCCATTGTTTAGTGGTTAGAGTTTTGGCACAGAACCAAGAGATTTAAGCTTCGATGCTGGTTCTGACCAAATAAGCAACATTGGGAAGGTAGGATTAAAGAAGTTCCTGCTTAAATATTCTTCGATGATGCTCTGCGATAAGATCTTTAGGTTTTCTGGGAACACTTTAATACTTTTATTATTATTATTTATAAATAGTAATAGTAACAATATTTATTAATAACAATAAACAAGTATTTAAAGATATATAAACTATTATATTGTAAATTTTAGTTTTACTGAAAGACATGTGTAGAAGTTTTCCTTTAAATATTCATTTTTTCATACACGATATGGTATTTTTATTTTTTTTGGCTTTTTCATTGTTTTTTGTCATATACTTGTGATATTTTCTCTCGAAATCTTCACTGATATAACTGAGTTTTTTCTAATTTAATGCTATTTGTAAAGAAATTATTTTGTGATTCAATGTTCTTAACAATTCCAATTTAAAGCGGCCGTGGTGCAGTGGTTAGAGCACCTGCTTTATAGGCAGGAGATCCAGGTTTGAAACGAGCTTTGGGCATGTTTTTGCATCACGGTAAGGAAAGAGGTGTGAACTTCCTGGTTAAACGCAATTCCGCAGTGCTCTGTGACAAGACCGTTATGTCTTCTTGGGGCATCTAAATAACAAAAAAAAAAAAAAAGTTCTTATTTTGTGGCTGCAAATACTGGATGCTGGTCCAAATACATTAGTTGACTGATCTTAATAAATTTCACTTCATTAATAAATTTTATTATATCAACTATTTTAAACTACTTGATAGCATCTGCTCTGATTTTTCTGTTTTCTAATGTTGTGATATTTTAAATTTTGTTGTTGTTGTAATCATAATCATGCAAATACTCAAAACCAATTTTGTAGCTTTCTGTTGCACTATTCTAAGTGTTACGATATCATATTGATAATGCAGATTCCTAATTTGAATAGAATACTTGAAATGTGGTCTGATGTATACTTTTTAAATAAAATTAAATGTTTTTTTGTCAATTTTAATGTGTTTTGCATAATATTCAATACTCTGTAGGCTTTTAAAGCAGCATTTACTTTTAAATTTAAGTTTTCATTTAAAATCACACAATATTTTGACACCAAGACTTTTTTGTTTCACACATGTTGATAAAGAAAATGGGTTGTTAACAAACATATGCATTGTGTAGTTAGAGTTTTTTTTTTTTTTTCACTTTACATTTTTTCACATTTTTTGTAACTGAAATACATAAACTACTGATTCTACCTTTCATCAACATTATTTTGTAAATTATGAGAGTCTGTGACATCAATGTAGATTTTTACAGATATTTTCAATAAGATTTTGCATATTGTTAATGAATATAGTAAGTTGAAGAGATGTCAATACGCTACTCTAAGGTATTCTACTTAAAACAAATATTCATTTTGATTTTTAATCACCTATGATGGCTTGTTGTGTTCTTTTTGAAAGGAAATTTTTAATCCAAAACAAAATTTTCCGAATATTTCTTTGGCTTTAAGTTCTTGTAGCAATCTCATATGTGGTAGTTTATCAGACACCTTAGCCAAATCTAGAAATGCAATATCCACAACTTTGTATTTAATAATTCCATTTGTTATATCGCCATCCTAAAGCAAAGGTGTCATTTTTTTACATCATTCATTTAAAATAAGCTAGATTTTAACAAGTTAGAAAAGAAAAGGTTTGTTTGATTTTCTCAAAATGTCAATCAAAAGAAATCAAATTCGATTAGATCAAGGGACTAAACACAAATATTAATTTTAACAAAAAAAAAATGTTAATACAACTAATAAATATAAATAGAAATTATAAACAATAAAACTATTAATAAAAATAATAGTAATTAATTTTAAGCTAAGTTTACAATATATTACTTATTATTAAAATAAAATTAAAAATAAAAAGTAAAAGATTGACATTGGATGTGTAAGAAGTATGAACACAGTAACTTAACTAAAAAAAAAAGTAATTCATCTTAACTAAAAAAATGATGGCTACTCCTTTTTTTATCCCTGTCTTTTTAATTTTTATGTACATATATTATGTCGTTAAACAGTTTTTTTAATTACATTTTTATATTTATAGCATGCTGTTCGGAAATATTTTTGTGTACTTTTTCTTGGCTCAGGCCAAATCTAGTAAGTATATGCATTTTTATAAAAAATCAAATTTTGCCTTTTTTTCTTTTTTATTATTGAAAATCACTTATGAGGTTAATAATAGTAACTTCATGCAGCATACAACACACATGCTGACTTATTTATTTGAGTGGCTATTAAAAAACTTTTTTTTTTAATGTCTGTTCCAACCCCCTAAATGTGTTCTTTATAATAAATTAATACTGGGTTTAAAATATTTTTCAACAAAATTTTTTTTAGCTGTTGTGCAAAATCCTTAACTATCCCTAACATTATCTAAAAAATTTCTTTAAAAGTATGTCTTGTTGGGTCTCAAAATAAACTAAATTGTAAAAAAAAGTTTTAAAGTAATAATTATGTTTTATGAAAAAATATTCAAAAAAACCTTCAAAAATTTTGTTTTATGTTAAAAAATTTTTATGCAATGTTTCAAAACAATCCTAAGCACGATTAGTTCTTTTTTTTTTTTTTTTTTTTTTTCAAGATTATTTCTAATAGTAGCAATTTTATAACTTTAGACAAGTGAAAAAGATCAAGGTATTTTTTGTAAATAGGCTAATCTTAAGAGGTAACAACACACAATTAACTCTGCCTCAAAAGCAAATCAAGCACTTGGTATGATAAAGTGAACCTTTAGTTATATAGATAAATATGTTTAAAGTACTTTATATTACATTTATCTGTCCACATCTTGAATGAGGTATCGATGTATAGTCTCCTTACCTTAAAGGTAAGGAGATTATACATCTATATTGGAACAAGTACAGAGGTGAGCAACTAAGCTGGTTCCTTCTCTTAAAAACATGACATATGGAGAAAGACTCTTAAGTTTAAATTTAACAAAACTTTCAAGTTTGCATTTTAGATACAAATTTTTAAAATTATCAATAAAATAGTGTAAATCTAACTTTACATGGATAAAATATCTTAGAGCTGAAATTTTACAAAAAAATCAGATTTAGACATGTTGACACAACTTTACTTAACGTGCTTCTAGACAAAATTATCTCCTTAATTGAGCAGCAAATGCATGGAATGAATTACTGGTAAAAGTAGTAAATTCATAGCTTCATAATTTCTTGACAACGACCTTCAAAAGAACTACAAATAAAGCAACTTATTTTTGCGAATGGCTGTTTTAGTGTGTAAATCACTCTAGCTGTATTAATACAGTTACAGCTTTATTACTAAACAAAACAAAATTTAAAAATAACAATTTGTATATAAAATAACTATTATTTATAAATTTTTTATGCAATTTTGCTTCTTTTAAGACCCAACAAGATATACTTTTAAAGAAATATTTTTTTGTTTAAATTGAATTGTGTTTTATAATTTTTGCTAAAATTATGTAATTTTTGTTGGAGTATATATTTGTTATATTTATTTTGTTATTTTAATGAGACAATTTATATAAGATGCATATAGGCAAAAATAGTTAAATAAAAAATGATAATTATATATAAATATTTATCTTTCTGTTTATATTTAAAAAATAATAAAATTTTGTTTAATTTTTAGGTAAATAGTTAAAATAAATCTATATGCTTCAATTTATATATATAATATTATTTAATCTAATTTAATTTAATGATATTTTTTACATGTTTAGTATAAACAATATAAACATCATTTTAGATTTTTTTTGTGCAGCAAAAGCACAAGCAAATTCAATAAATAAAATAAAATAAGCAAAAAATTCATCAACAAATTTAAGTCACTTAATTTTAAAAACTTAAATATTACCAATTAAGCGAATTTAAAAAACTTCATTTTATAAGAGTTCTGGACTCTAATTGGAGGGGTAAAAAGATACTTCCGTTATTCATAATATATAAGATTGACTTGAGAAAAAAAGTATAAACATCTAAGGGGTCGTCCATAAAGTACGTACGCTTTTTTTTGTACACCCCTCCCCCTCCCCCACATTTTGCAATATGCTTTTTGAGTACTCTCTAACTCCCTAAAATTACCTATGCTTTTAATTTATTTATCTAACACTTTATAATATTTTTTTAATTTTAGTGTCTCACTGTTGAACCACTGTCCTCCTATCTCATTTACGCCATTTGCAGACCCCCTCTTCCCCTCTGAGCATGCATACTTTATGGACAATCCCTAACTAACACTGCTAATACAAGTATTTACTATAAAATTAATTATGAAATACACTATGATTTCAAAGATGAATGTTGAAGAGTTAAAAAAAATATCTGAAATTAAGGGGATTAAAGTTAAATGGTAAAAAAAAAGAACTAGTGGCTCGTATATTTGCTGAAATGGAAAACAATGTTCTACCAATAAAAACAGCAGTAAAAGTTGAAGCAGATTTACAAAAATAATATAATTTGAAACTAAAATTAGATGATGTGCTGGTACATGATCCATTTAAAATTCTTGATGGCTGGATGGACGAACAAGAAGGTATGCCTTTCTGGGCAATCTTGTCATATCCAGATATATTTAATTATTTAATGTTTAACCCGTCAGGGTTACTATAGTCAGTTACTATAAATCTTTCTGGCTTCAGCCTCTTCAACTCTCAAAAGTATCATAGTTTAACAGGAAGTAATTACTGTATATTTAAATCAGAATGTCGGAGATCACAATCTATCAATGATACATATCATAAACTGTAGTTGATATTAGAAAAAAGTGCAAAAATGGCTGGCATGGGTCAAACTTGTAATCATGTTGCTGCAGCAATGTATAGAGTATAGGCTGCTGTAAGTAATGATCTAACAAATCTTGCATGTACAAGCACTTCAAATGAATGGCTGCCATCTCAAAAAGAAGTAGCACCTTGTAAAATCAATGACCTTGACTTTAGTCGTGAAGATTTTGGCGAAAGAGGTAAAAAAAAAAAAAAAAAATTGGTAAAATAATTATAAATACACAAAAAAATATATATAATTCTTTATCAAATAATACAGTACAGTTATTAAATATCAATGATGTATCTTCTGCTCTAGAGATAATTGTTCCAACAAGCATTTTGTTTACTGCTGTTCCAAAGCCCAAAATAGACTTTATTTGTGAAGTTTGGCAAAAGTTGATATGTCCCCTATTGATTTACCAAGCATTAACAATTCTTCATCTTGCATTGAATTTTTTACAAGTTTAAAATAAACATGTCAGTTAAGAATATAAATCGAGTTGAAGTATTAACACGGGGTCAAAATGAAAATGAACTTTGGTATTACTATCAAAAAGGTGTTATAACTACCTCTAAGGCACATGAAGTAGCAACAAATATGGAGAAAATTAAACTAACTCTTGATGGGTAGACTTTTACTAACCCCATTATTCCAGCCTTGAAAGCCCATTATTCCAGCCTTGGTCGTGCAATGGAAGTTGAAGCAATGAATGCGTTTTATGTAAAGATCTTACTTTAAATGAATGCAGACTTTACCTGAATTATAAACAAAAATGTAGACTTTACTTGGATTATAAAAAAAAAGAAAAGGAATTCTATTGTAATTATATTGCGCATATCAAAAGCTTTTAATAACATTTGGCATGTTAGTTTTGTCTATAAACTTTCTTCATATGGTGTGTCTGAGAAAATATTTGAGACTATCAAATCATTTCTTTCTAACTTCAGCATTAAAATTATTTACTACTGACCACTCATGGAAGCCATATATACAATCAATTGCAAAGTTTGTACCTGTTAACATTGCTTCTCTGTATTGTGTTTACCCTTTTTTGATTCCATTCTTTACTTCTACCTATCTCTTATTCGTCCCTATATGGAATAATGTTTTCATTTTGTGCTAATTTTTCTGAAGATGCTTTTTCTAGAAAAAATGCAAAAAAACTTCAAAATAACAAGGTATAATAATAATAACAACAAGGTTTAAGTTTCAAAGAATAACCTTAACACTAATTCAAAAAAATCTTTTATTTTAATGAAAAACATTAAAAAAAGAAACTACAACTTTAAAGTTAATTAAAATATTACTTGTCTAATTAAAATATTACTTGACTAATACTTGCTGCAACTCTCTTAAGGCTTCCTGAAAGTCTTAGATTTTTAGA